CAGACCCATAACACGGTGGTAACAGAAAAGTAAAATTCAAATAAAGCTGAAGAAATACTTCTAGAAACGACCTATCACACAAAAGGAACAACATTTTGAAGTATTACTCGAGTAGAAAAAGCTAGCGATCATTTTGCACCTCCGAAATTGAGCAGTGAATTCATACGGTTAATCAGGACCCGGACCGGAACCGATATGGACCCAAAACTGGAACGGAACCGTTTGTCTTGGACCGGAACCGTAACGGAACCCATATTTGATATTAACACACTGTTAGGTGCTGAATCGGAACCGAAATATTTTATTTCGGTTTTTTCGGTGTTTTTTCGGTTCTGCTAGTAACGTTTGAAAGAAATTACTGTACATTTTACAAGCAAATGAAAAAAAAACCTTGCTGGGATATTTTTGGATCCTCGGTATAAGGTAATTTTAGATGACAATCAAGTTGAAAGAGCAAAAGCACATTTAAAGTCTTTATGGACTGGACTGATATACTTAAAAGAGTGCAATTCTTCTAATTCTAAATATGACTCTGACCAACACGATATGGAAACTGAATTATCTAATTCATCAAGCGATGAAATGGAAGTCTTTTTGAGACATAAAGCTTCACAGCAACAATTTTTAAAAGGAATTAATCAGCACGAATTTTCTTCACAAGGTTCATTTGTAGCTCTTAGCAAAATTGTAAATATTTTAAATTCCTATAAAGTGGAACAAAGCCGCATATGCTTACGGCAAAATGAAACGATTTTTGATTGCTGGAAGAAAAAGAAAGAACTTAATCCCGAGTTATACATCTTTGCTCAAGTATATCAAGTTAGTGTTGGGAGGTTATTCTCAGGACTCAAATTTTTGTTGCCGCATTCGAGGTCAAACATTAAAGAAAACATTTTAGAGGAACTATTATTTGTGAGAACCAATCGACTTTTCAATCGAAAAGAACAAACACCGTACGTTTATACACTATTTTTAAAATTCTTTTTTAAGTTGAATTATTTTAGTTTTTCAATCACCGACAAAGAAACATTTGAAACTGAAATGTTGGACAAAAGCAACTCCTCAAAAAATGGTGAAGACATGAACCAAGAAGGACAGCGTTTAAATGGAAATAAGAGTGAAAGAAGAGGAATTGACGAAGTTGTGAACTTGAGTGAAAACGGAAGGAAGAGAAAAGCGCTAAAGTCAGAAAATTTAGTGACAAATTACTTTTCAAAAATACGATTAAATTAATTTTTGTATGGGAGTCTTTATTGCATTGTTGTTCCATTTAATGTTACCTGAATTTCAATTCTTGTGTGGGGTTGCTAGTCGTCCTACATTCCTACCCCCTACCATACAACCAGCCGAAGTATCATATGAAGCAGTGGATAGTTTACGCATCTTTTATCTTGTATAATACAACAAGCCAGGAAAAAGATAGTGAGATTCCTAATTAGAGTATCTTTGTCCTCGTTCGTTGTTATATATAGATTTTGGAACCGAAATAAATCGAAAAAAAAACGGAACCGGAACGGAACCGAATTGGAAATTATTTTCTAAACCGGAACCGTAACGAAACCGAAATTTTAAATTTGGCCTTGGACCGAAACCGGAACGGAACAGTTATTTCGTTTCGGTCCGGGTCCTTGCGATTAATATTCAAAATTCCTTCATATCTAATACTTCTTCATTTCATCAAAACGTATTAAGTTTTGATGCTCATTTATTTAAGCCCAGAAAGCTGAATAAATAATGCTAAAATTGCTTATGCATGTCGCCCGGTAAATCGAAAATGCATCTTTTAATTGTTTATTACGTGTTAATGCGTCGCGCTGTTGGTTATCCACCGAAATTGTGTAATAATAATTATTATATCCATTGAACGGACTAGTGTCTATATTGATTTCGACACAGATCCGAATTAATCGGGCACGATGCGTGTTTATTGCAATTTTGTTGCTCCCAAATTGTCGTCTGTTTATTATTTTCAACGCGACAGGCTTAAATATAAACGAGTAAAAGTGCAACTCGAAGTAATTACTGAAGAAAGGTTTGGGTGTTAGATATTTTGGACATTCGATAAAAACTGATGGCTATAGATAAATTGTCCCAAAGTAGTCACGTGATCGCATACAACACCAGACGGTAGTTAAAAATGTTCGCTATTAGATGTCTCGCAATGAAATTCCCCAAATTTGTAAAACTTTCCTTTAATATGTTTAACATTTTTTAGATTGTCGATGTTCAACAGAACGAACATAATCAACACGCTTGTTATGCATCGGTGCACTTTTCAGCTTTGGTTAAAATGGGTTTTGTTAATTAGAGTAGGCATCGAAACAATAACTTTTCAACTAAATGTTTCGTTTGTATTGGTCATATACCAGGTTTAATTAAGAGTCAAGCAAATTTAAATAACCATTGTTAGTTGAGGTGGTTTTTGTATTGTGTAAATAGGTTTTTTTTGTTTTTCCATTCGCGAGATCAAAAGTCCAGACCCCTGATGGCTAAAATTATAATTACAAGTTAAGTAGTTATTGTGACAGTTGTTTCGTTGACATTGGTGTCACATTGGTGTTTCCGTCTGATTGTGATTGGTTTTCTTTTGTTCTAATCAACTTTTGCAAGCTTAGAGAAATAGAAACCTTTCGAAAAGTGTGTAGGTATTGGTTTATGTTATAAATGTTATCAACTCCAATAAATAAACAAGTCTGACAAATCTCAACTGTCATTCCATAACGAGTAATTTGACGTTTCGCTGCGCCACCATCGGTAGTTAAAGGACAAAGTCCTGTCAATTCTGTCATCAGCCTTCCTGTGATCCCGATGTCCAGCTTTCATACCAGCGTTTTGGAGGCTTGCCAGCTTTGTTTCTGGGTTTTGTGTTTTGGCCCACTTTGCAATAGGGCGTTTTCATTGTATCAAAAATTTCTACAAACTGAACATTAATCTATGGTAATATATATAGGGTGTTGCGGTAAGGATGGTAAGCGGCTGAATCATGGAAAGTATATGTTGTAGAGTGATCGGAAAAAAATTTGATAACAAACTTGACGAAAAGAATTTGCTGGAAATTAATTGTCTCTATAAGTGACATCTAGTAGGTTTGAAAATAGTGGGAAAAATAAAACAACATTTTTTCTTCCAAAGCCTACTTTAATTATTTGAATTAGGCAACCTTTATTACTTTCAAGTATTAAATCGATTTCAGAAATTATTTTAAGATGCGGTTTTTGCGGTTTAGTTAATTTTTTTACTGTGCTTTGGAATGCGTGTAAAATAACTTGATGGAAGTATTTGAAATTTTTGTGCAAAATGAAAACAAATAATTTTTTTCGAACAGCGGATTTTTCGAAAATGATTAAGATTGCTTTAAAATCACATATTGTAGAGTTCTTCTTGCTCTTTCAATTGATAGTAATAACTTTGAAATTGTTTAAGAGTTACAGGTTCCTTTGACTTAGGCGGTTTGACTCTCCCCCCACGCTTTATTTGACAAGTTACGAAAAAAATTCATAAGGAAAGTAGTAGCGTTTTTTATGATCTTTTGACTAAACTTACTAGATGTTTATGTACACTTATAGGGACAATTTCTGTATAAAATCGACTTTTTAAAATACCGTTTGCAATTACGCCATCTAGTGGTCATCTGAGAAATTTCAAAATAATTTCCAGCAAATTATTTTCTTCAAGTTTGTTATCAATTTTTTTTCCGATCACTCTACAACACATACTTTCCAAGATACAGCCGTTTACCATGCTTATTGCGACACCCTGTATATATGAAAGATGGCATGAGTTTATACTATCTATATATTGCTATTTTGTTACATATTGAATAAACAAATTCATCTAAAATTAAAATTATTCATGAATCTCCACAACTCAATCCTATTGGTTGTGACGTCTCTGGTCATATAAATGGCGGATTGTTTACGTTCTGTGCATAGTGTTTAGTTGTGTGGTTGTGTTTCATTAATT